ACAGCTTTCCCGTTCGCTGTTGCCGGGGCCGTGTTTGTATTGGTGCACTCACGCTGAAGTTGCCGAGCGGAGCACCACGTTTGTCAGTTGTGCCTGTTTGAAGCTACCAGGCCAGCTTGTATTAGTGCGCTCCCGTTGAGTTTACCGGGGCACCATATTTGTAACGGCGTTCCCGTTTGCTGATGCCGGGGCTGTGTTTGTATTGGTGCATTTCCGCTGACGTTGCCCAGCGGAGCACCATGTTTGTCAATTGCGCCTGTTTGAAGTTGCCAGGCCAATCCTGTAACGCGCACCCGTTTGCTGTTGCCGGGTGACATGTTTGTCAATTGTGCTTGTAGCATACTGCCGTGATGTGCGATTAATAACAGGCCGCCGGAGCTGGTCAGGTTATTACCGGACCAACTTTTCAGCCACGAACACATGTTTCCTACTGTGGAGGGCAGGTGTACCCGTCATACCCTACACAAAGTATAACGGCCATGATACTACCGGACCACTCAAACGCTGCATCCGGCGGTCCTGAGTAAGGCGATAATAATTACGAGCCATGCATTGGTTTGTTTTGCCAATGGCTCTTTGTGGTACACGGCAATTTGCTATCATTCGTGACATTTCACAGAGTGACGAATGTGAGAAGACAAAACAAAAAGAAAAGAAATAATTGTAATAATGGCAAACCCCGGCCCCCACAATTATCAACCTCCGAGCGCTGAACAGCTATCTGTAGTATCACCACTTTGCGCTGGAGTCATTGAAGACAATGCCGGATCACCTGCAGCTAGGGGATGTGATGATCGGGATAGACTTAAGAGATGCTTATTTCTCCAGTCCAGCGGCTCGATCGTCAGTTTCTCCAGTTTTCAGTGGTATCAACAGATTTACCAGTTTAACTGTCTACCGTTTGGCTTGCGCAGTGGTCCCAGAGGCCAGAGTATTCACCAAGACTAGCTCTGCACCCTGTGGTGAAGATGGTACGTTCGCTCGGCCTACACCTGGTTATTTACCTCGCCGGCGTTTTTATCATGGCACGGACAACGTCCGACCTGTTTCGCCCTGTTGCTACCATTCTTCATCTGCTGATTGGTCTTGGGTTCGACATCAACTGGACGCAGTCGTATCTGATTCCCACCAGGCAGATACAATACCTGGGTATTCAGGTCAACTCCGTCACCATGGAGTTCTCATTGCCAGACTCGAAAGCATCCACGCTTCAACAACAATGTGCGCGTCTGCTGGCTGCTCACACCGTATGTCTTCGGGGTATTGCGTCAATTGTGGGCATGATGGTGTCCACCATGGTTGCCGTGGTTCCTGCATCACTTAACTATCGTCGCTTGCAGTGTTTGAAGACCACGTTCCTACGGCAGGGTCCCTTTTACACTCACCGGCTTACTCTCAGTCATGAGTGCCATGCCGAAATTCATTAGTGGATAATGCCAATGTCACCACAGGCGGCTGATGGACATCTGCCGAGAAGCAGCTTCACATGAATGTCCCGGAACCGCTCACAGCCCAGTATGCTGTCCAGTCGCTAGCGCCTTCTCTATACCAGGGCAGTATTCTCCTGCAGCTCGACTAACGTGTGGCTGTTCCCTGTTTGCCCCGCACTGGCAGCCGTTCATCACCGACCTTAGACAGGATAGCTGCCACGCTGTGGGAGTGGTGTCAGTCTGCTCAGAGATATCACTTTGATTCCCAATATCTACCTGATGCAGTGAATACAGTTACCGATTATCACTCTCGCCATCACACCGATACCAGCGTCTGGATGCTCGACCGGTCAGTTTTCCAGGATCACCAGATCATGTGACCGAGTACCTGCGACCTGTTTGCATCTCGCACTAATTTTCGACTGCACATGTACGTCAGTTGGCGCCCATATGCACACAGCCCGCATGCCTTCCGTCTGCAAGTCTATGCCTTCCCTCCAATCTATCTGATTGGCAAATGCCCGGCCAGGGTTGTTCTACAGGAAATCCCATCCATAGTCATGGTCACTCCGCTTTGGCCCGGCCAGGCTTGGGTTCCAGCTCTCTTGGCACTAGTGGTGGACATTCCGCGCGTGCTGTCAGTCTCTCCGGTCTTGTTCGCTGGTCCAGATCACAAAGTTCACCCGTCCGTACAGTCAGCTCACTTCACCCTGGTTGCATGGAAACTCTCCGGGCTAGCAACAGCCGCAGCGGAGTTTCGGGCGACACTGCCAACCTACTCTTGGCGCCATGGTGTTCCCTCACCGACCGTGTGTATCAGTCGGCATGGAACACATGGTGTGATTGGTGTGCCACACGGCAAATTGCTTCCCTGGGTGTTCTCTCAGAGGTCCTCGATTTTCTGACCTCCCAATTCCGTCTGGCTCGACTGTATCATACGCTAGGGTTGTACCGGTAAGCCATGTCAATGACGCTTCCTCCCATCGATGGCGTTGTGGTTGGCCCGCATCCTCTGGTGTCTCATATGCTCCCCGGTGCATACCAATCCCGTCCTTCTCAGCCGTGCTATGGCAGCATGTGGAATGTACAGGCAGTCCTGGATCGGTTCTGGAACATGTCCTTCACGCATGAGTCTCTCAAAGAACTGACTCTCTGGTTGACTATGCTGCTGGCTCTGACGGGTGACCGGCGTTGCTCTGAGCTGCAGAAGCTCGATGTTCGTTTTATGGACATTATTTGGGATCCCCACTTTTACCCAGAATCAGCGCGTCGGTGATCCAGCCAAGCAGTTTGTCTTCCCTGCTTGCCCTCAGCACCCTCCGTTGTGTGTGGATGCTCTAAGGCAGTATTCTGCTCGCACAGAGAGAGAGAGAGTTTCCCGCCCGCTGTCGCCGCGTCTGCCAACCCTCTGCTGCTGTCGCTCCGACGTCCTCACAAGCCGGTCTCACCGAGCACCGTTGCCGCTGAGGTGGCTCCTCACTTCCATGTCGGATGCTGGTGTGGACACCATCGTTTTTCACGGCGCATTCCACACGTAGTGCGGCCACCTCCGCTGCCTGTCGGAAGGGAGCCTCTGTACCCGACATCCTCTGGGCCACCGCCTGGGCGCAATCCTCTATATTCCAGAGGTTTTATTCTCGTGATGTTTCACCCTCCTCCTTCTGATGGCACCACCTTCGGTGCAACTGTCCTTGGCTGACAGTCTGTTATTCCGCCGCTCATGATTGCGGCCGATAGGGTCCACGGCTTCAGTCCGCCGTGTTCTTTTCTCCTACACATTTGGGTTTTTCTCAGACCTTTTTCCTTTCCAAAAGTCCTGTATACATGGTATATACCTGGTGCACCAGTTTTTTCCCAGGTGTTCCCACTCTGGAGTTTGCATTGTCCGTTAATTCTGCATAGTTGACAATGCTAAGTTGTATTCTATTTTGGTATGATCTACTCCACTTGCCGTTCCGTGCGTAAGTTTTATGATAATTCCATCTGTACTCAGTGATGGTCATTCGGTGGTCTGTGCCTGGCATAGTGTGGGCTGATTATGCTTGTTTATCATGCCACACACCTTTTACTAGAACTTTCACTAAGTCCTTGTGTGGACAGTGTGATAGTTTCTTGTTTCCGCTCAGGGTGCGGAACCGACTTTAAACAAGACATAGTTATATCTCACCGGAAACTCCGACATGCAATTTCCCATTTCACAAGCAATGGAAAATTGTGTAGTGAAGTGGGAATTGTATAAGGAGTTGGAGGTGAGATATAACTATGTCCCACCCACCCACCCTGTTTGGGTTTGTTCTCCATGAAAATAGGCCTGAAGGGCCTCGGATGAGCTGCATCAAGTACAGCTTCATTAGAATATTGAACTTTAAAAAAATGCTGTGTTCGAGCATGAAATCGCGTAAATCGCGAGGGCTAGACATAGTTATATCTCACCTCCAACTCCTTATACAATTCCCACTTCACTACACAATTTTCCATTTCTTGTGAAATGGGAAATTTTCACTGGGAATCAAAGCAAGTACAGTACCGGTAAGCATTTAGTACCATATCCTGTACAGCTATGTAGATACATGTACTACAGTACAGTACTGGCAACGGAAATCCGACCCCCTGAATGGCGCGCTCACATCGTAACACTACGAAAAGGGGAAGTTTCCGGAGGAGGAAGGAGGAAACTGTAGTCACTAACCCTCACCGCGCCCAGCTCACGCCGCTACGGCGTGCGACCTGAGCTGGGCTCCCTGCCGTGCAGTATGTACGAGTACAGGTTCCTGCACGAGTACGAGGGCAGTACCGCGGAATCCAGCCCGCGCCGCGATAGCGGCAAGGGCTGGATGAACAGCGGTACTGGCCGAGTATGATATGAGTGACTGGAACGTGTTTCCCGTGTGCACCCAAGCCAAATAAATAAAGGAGATACATGACGGGCAGTGGAATCCGTTCCTGCCCGTCGTCAAGTGACGACGGGCAGTGGAATCCGTTCCTGCCCGTCGTCACTTGACGACGGGCAGTGGAATCCGTTCCTGCCCGTCGTCACTTAAGTACTTGACGACGGGCAGTGGATCCAGTTCCATCACCTTTGAGCAGGCAGGACCGCGCTTTCCAGCCCGCGCTGTTTGATCTGTCATTGGTCAACTCCAAGGCGACAATCACGTGACATACGGGAAGGAACTGTCCTCAAGCCAGTCACGTATTTGGCAGCCCAGTGATGCATGTCATGTCTACCGGATCGCAGCGTTTAGAAGCGCCAAATGCGGCAGGGCCAGTCTCAGGCTGGTCGCGTAGGCGGCAGGCCGGCGGGCGACCGGCAAGGCTGCATTCGCATTTGGATCACCGAAGTGATACAGGTGCTTCGACGGCGCATCAGGGAGGCATCTGGTATACCATGGTATACTGGTAGTTTCACGATTCGGGACAAAATAATTATGAGCACGTAGATCTACATGTAGTGACTAGTGTAGATCTACGGGACGGTGGTCATCAATCATGGTCATGCCCCATGGCGCATATGGCCCTCGCCTGACATCAGTTGCAGCTAGCAAGTAGCATGGTGGTTGTTGTTGCCTCGAAACTTACGAAAGATGTTATGCCCTCCTAAATCCAAGTAGCGGGCCGTGACTGTAGTTGTTCTCCTCCGGGTGTCGGTAGATCGGTTTGTTTGCCCGCAGCGCAGTTGTGGTCCACCCACGTCGGGCATGAATTCTGCACAGTAGACTGTCCAATGGTTTGAAGAGCGAAAGCAGTGCAGTGAAGTAGGCATGGCCGCTTCTGCAAACGGAGATCTTCTGCGTGACCTGGGCCTAACCAACGAGTCCGTTGTCGACCTCGGCAACGTTGCAGTCGATCCCAACCAAGAACTCGGACGAGGCTCGGATGCTGCTGTGTATCGTGTCCAATGGCATGGCGTAGATATCGCACTCAAAGTCCTCCACGGTCTGCTCATTCAGCCGGGTAATGTTGGTCGTCGAGAACACATTCATCGCTTTGGTCAGGAAATACTACGATTGTCCAAGCTCCACCATCCGAATTTGTGCCAACTTGTGGGCATTGCTCGGGTCGGTCACTCGCCGGCTCTGGCGGTGGAATTGTTGGAACGAACACTGGAGCAATGTAGTATCGGAGATGGCAGAGAGCCAGAGCCTCAGCTGTTGTCTTATCTTGCTGATACAGCAGCTGCACTGCGCTACCTGCACTCCTTGCGAATTATACATCGTGACTTGGCTCCCAAGAACATCTTGGTGCGCAATGGAGTTGCGAAAGTATGTGATTTCGGCGTGGCACGCTGCTTACACCCCGAAGGACCTCGGCAGGAGCTGCAAGAAGCAGCAAGGATCATGACAGCGTGCCCAGGTACGATGTTGTTCATGCCACCCGAAGCACTGCTTGAACGACCGGAGTATGATGAAGCTTTAGATATCTTCTCCTACGGTGTATGTCTGCTAAGCGTATGGACAGGCAAACTGCCCTCAGCGGAGCTTGTCTTCGCTGACCGAAACAGAACTGCTGTAGTGGCGGGCGGTAGGAGTCGACGAGAGCCTATTCCTGAGTTTCAGCGCAGAAGGTTGGACCTGGAGCGCATGGCGGATGGTCACCCTCTGAAGCCGATTGTTCTTCGTTGTCTGCGGAACCGTGCATGCGACCGTCCTAAAGCTGAGGAGATTCACGATTTTGTCAAGTCAGCTGCTCGTCTCGCTTGCGATATGACTTCAGTAAGGACTGTACAATCACTGTCAATCTGTAAGGACTGTGCTGGCTCCGCTGACAATGAACGTAATACTGTTCTGTGGTTAGTTTGTTGATGAGAAATTGTATTGCAAGCAGGGGTGAATGTAGGAGGATCTGGTTGGGTTCAAGCAGTCTCTGCTCTACGATTTCAAACAAACCGGCTACACGTGTACGTGGCACAACTCTTGCAATCGGGTCAGAGTTGGGTACGTTCAAGTGCGGCTACATAAGGAAGTCTTAAACTATTTTACGACTCCGTGATAGGGACAGTAGCAGAGGGGGGGGGGGGGGGGGTGCTGAATGACCCGCGTCAAAAATTTCGATCCTGGTTCGACACACACCATTGTACGCCGTCAGCTGACCACACAGTGCGTCTCTACTAGGCTCTGGCGGATTATGCTCGCGAAATCATGGATTCTCGAAATATGCTCGCAAAATCCTCATATCACATGCTTTGGCATGCGGGGGTGCATATTCACTTTGTTGTACTTATGGAGCCTCAAAGTTCAGAAACGTTGCGCCTTTCTCGTACTTGCAAGTTGCCATACGTATGTTAGATCCAACAAGAGACTAACAACGGGAACAAGTAGGTTGGTAACAACATTTATTAGAAACGGGACAAGAGACCAAGACGAACGAAACGACTACATGGTGATTATTGAGAGCTCGACTGAAGAGAGCGCTTATTCAGTGAAGAGAGTTGAGAGAGTTGAGAGCGAGATTTGAAGAGAGGCAACGCAATATATAGGGCCTGGGTAGCTATGGCAACCATGGGCGCGCAAGTAGCTACCCAGGCCAAACGAATAATGCATGAACCCAACACGTACAATATAATACATGAGTATCCCCATACCAAGGTGTCCATGTATGGAAAAGAGAAAACATTACTTCTTCTAAGTACTATTCATTAGTTTATTATTATTATATTATTATTATTATCAAATTTTTGATAGGGCAATCCCCATTAGTTGACTTCTTCTGTAAAAAATATTCTTTCATTGCCAAAATAGTTTGAGTTTGCTTTGAAAATTATAATGTTCAACTGTCTTCGTAATCGTCAAACTCATCCAACCGATGTCAATCTCACCCTGCGATTAATCAGCTCATCTCTCCCCTAGCTCCACCTCTCCTTCCATCCTGACCGAACATCAACTATGCCTCATTTTTTTTAAATTATTGGAGCAATATCCATGGCCTGCGCAGTCATGGCTGCTAAAATCCAGAGGTCATGACTTCGTAACATGCATAATGTACATGTACGCGGAGTTTTGCGGACCGCCCATCACTATCTCGTCCGCCCCGGTATACCTGATAAAGGCTGATTCACTCGCATCTTCTGCTACATGTACTGTATCAGTCAGTGTGAGAAAAAACTTTGAAGAAGACGAGTTCGAGCATACAATAATGTATTGCCATGATTTCTACCCTGCTTTTCATGGATGCAGTGAATGGGATTTTCGGTCTTTGACCACTTGCTGGTGAGCTGATCTACTCACCTCCCACCGCTTTAGGAGCTGCATCTGCGCCTTGATCCTTGAAGGGTGGTGGCGTTCCTACGGATGCGGAAAACCCGGCTTCCAGCCGAGTCTCACGCGAACCGTGAAATTTTTAAATTAAAATTAATTTTCATTGAAAACACTGCCTGCATGACCTCCAAATCCTTTACCATGCAGACCACCAGCACTAATTAGGTGCATTGTACGCAATAATGTAGGCTACATACTAGAACTGTGGTACAATCTGATGTAGTTATGCTCCTACCTCCAAAAGGATGCCATATTATGCTCCAAATTTTCAACCACCAAATTATGCCAATAATAACCCGGCATAATCCGCCGGTGCCTACTCTGTACACTTCTGTACTCTTGACTCTTGTGGGAAATTTGTGGCACCCCCCTCGATCATGATCCTGGCTACGTCCCTGCGTAATGTATGTAATTGTACAGGTATGAACGTACTGGGCACTCAAAAGCCTGGCATATCACTTATCTATACTTATCTGTGTGTACCCCATGAAGTACAATGAAATGAGCTCGACATGACACCCCCTGCGTCACTTGTGATCCGGTGCTCTTTTTCCCAACCGGTCCAAGTACCCCCTCCCCCCCCCCCCCAACCAATCCAAGTTGTACTAGTACCAGTGTCTTGGGAAGTCGACGGACACACAGGCAGAGCGCAAGTGCTTCGAGTATCAGTTGCGGCGCGAAGCACGTGCCAGGATAGCCTTTTGGTCTGTTCCTGTGGCAGTCACTGCGCTGACACGTCGACAGTCTGTATGCGTATACAGCAGTAACTGTTAGTAGTATAGTGTAGTCGTAGTCTAGGTAGGACACCGGTGGCAGGCCGTCACCATGGGCGAGTTTTCAAGTGAAGCTCAGATGAAACTGCTTTGTTCTCTCCCAGGGATCGAGCACTCGCTGTTAGGAGTTGTGCAGACGCTCTCTACCCTAGCCACAGAATTCGCAGACCATGCGGCGAGGATGAACCGCAGAATTTCAGATTAATCTGTAGAGATAAAAGGACTGAAAGATGAATTGGTCACCCTCAAGGCATCCACCACTTGGTGGTGGGTCTGATCTACTCATCTCCCATCGTTTAGGTGCTGGATCTGCGCCTTGATCCTAGAGGGTGGTGGCGTTCCCACGCGGATGCGGAAAACTCGGCTTCCAGCCGAGTCTCACGCGAACCGTGAAATTTATTCCCGTAGCTATGCAGAAGACGTTACTTCAGTAACGTCTGGCGCTAGCCAGGGTCCACACAGCTTTAATTTGGTGTTTGTTTGTTTGTTTGTGTCACGCCTGGAGCTATCCCGTATTTGTCCCGTATCTGTCCCGTATCTGTGACTACAAAGGCTCTACAGGATTGTACATAACAGCTGGCCACAATATTGGCTGGTACCGTATCTGTCCCGTACCGTACCATCAAGCACAGCTAGCCACAAACAGCTGGCCACAGTATATGGTATAATATATTATGGTATATGGTATATGGTTGAGTTCCAAGAGGAATCTGGAGCTCGCTGAATCAATCGATAGTCGATAAGCACTGGCCAACGAGGGACCACTCTTTGCAGGCTCTGAGGGATGTATCGAATGAAGAAAAGTTGAACTGACTTGGTTCGGCAGGGATGGCAACACTTCGTGTGTCTCGCTGACGTTGTAATTGGAGTCTGGCGAGGACAATGTCGCGATCTGAGGTACCCAGCGGTGCGGCGGTTGAGAGGTTAGAAAGAAGTAGTGGGTGGTTGGTTATAACCAGGTCTAACCCACTGGCATGACCACTGTGTTGGGAGTAATGTGTGGGAAAGGTAACGAGCTGTGATAGGGAGAGCATTTGAAGCAGACAAAGCAGTTGATGACGAACCGCATCTGTGGTCGATCCACACCATTCCGAGCAACGAGCGTTGAAGTCCCCAGAGACGAGAAGCATGGAGTCGGGCGTAGATAAGCGTTGCAAGATGGATTGAAATTGAGTAAAGAAATTATTGGTTTGGCGGTGTGTCAATGATAGCAGCCTGTACACCGATCCTAAATAGCGCAAGATCATAACGTGAAGCAACTTGGAAGAATGAGTATGAATGCGAAGTGTATCGGGGAATGAATGTAGAGCGATCGTGCGGGTTCGAATCCCAGGTTATGCCTTGAAATAAAGATAGGAGAATTGAAAATTTATAACATCCCTATGCTTTTTTTGTCCAGGTCATCAAGGCAAAAAAGCATAGCGTAGGGCCCTGAGCTTCCAAGCTCTCTCGTTTTAACTTTAAGGCATCCACCATTGCGAAACCGATGAGCAGCAGCAGCAGGCCAAAGGCAGTTGGAGCTGGACGCACAACAACGAGCGGCAACCTGTCAACGGCTGTCACTGGGGGCAAAGTCCAGCGTACTGGTACAGACTCAGTGAACCATAGCACAGAACACTCTACAGAAACTTCGTTGGCAACGCCTGTAGCAACGGACAGCGCTGGGGACGCGCACTGTACGAGTATTAGTACTAGTCGCGAGGCCCACGCTGCAGCTAAGCATGCGGAAACTGACGAACTGACAAAAGAAACCCAACATAATAAAGTACCTGCAGCAAACCATACGGAAGTGCATACTGCAGCAGAAACAGCAGACGAAAAGCACAGCACCAGCCATCATGGTCAGGACGCAAAGGATGTACAAAGCAAAGGACGGTCCCACGTTGTCCCACCCATGGGTGATGCAGATGATGCCTGGACTCTGGTATCACATGACAAGCCTCGAAGACCAAAAAGGAAAGTCATCAACAACCTCAAGGCAGGCACAACTGAGAAGCAACTAGCAACTTACTTGCACAGTAGAATTGCTGCTGCTGCACAACTGACTTCCCGCTACACAGCGTGACAGTACTGGAGAAATGGCCACTCAACAATTCCCCACGGTGTCAGGGCGAGTCATGATCAATGCACAAGATGCTTGATATCTGCTTGCCAAGAACTTTTGGCCGGGCTGCATGTGCTCCAGGCTGTGGAAGTTCGATGCTGACAGAAACAGCAGTGGGTGAGCCACACCTGGCGAAGATATTGGAGACAGCATTCACCATAGCACATCCACCACAAGTACATGTAGTGCGTCTGCGGCCACTGAACATGGCAGTGCTCAAAGCACAGCTGCCGAACCCACTGACCAGGGAGAGCACTGTTTAGAAATACAATGCCAAAATTGCACCAACAGCAGCAGCAACAACATCAACAACAACAACCACAACAACAATCTCACATCTATCAGACATACATACTACCTGTATTCTCATATGCAAGCAATGCTCTCACACCGTTGTCACACACTTCCCTTGACAGGCTAGAACGACTCCAGCGGAAAGCCGCCAGAATATGTCTCCACCTTCCCCTTTACACACACTTAGAACACTCCCACCTTTTGCATCGCATCAAATGGCCAACATTATTTTCACGCTTTAAAGTTAAACATATACTCTTCGCGCATTCTCTGTGCCACATTTATGC